GAAATTTCTGAGTCTTTATTATAAGACACTCGTGTTCAGTTCCATCTTCACCATTTCAACGAAAATCTTGAATTTGTATTGCATTTATTCTGGAACAGTTGACTAAATGAAAAAAATAACAACTTTGAAAGCAATAATTGAATATTGGAAACGTTTTGACCGTTATATTAAATGTTGTCAAGTAAAGGTTGCCTTTCTCTTATTGTGAATCAAAACATTGGATTATCATTTTACTATCAGCTAAGACAATTAATGGACTAGAGCATATGAAAAGCTTTGAAAGAAACAAAATGAGGCGAAAAAGCAACTGAAATCTAAATCTGATGATCATGGTCATGATGAGATGGTGGACATTGATGAATGATTACCAGTTTTGTACAATTCAATCTCATTCCATTGATACTCCATTTGAGCCTTCCACTAATCCTTAGCCATTGATTCTTTTTTTCCTTCCTCATCATCTTCCTTTTCATCTTCATCTTCCTCATCTTGCAATATAATCATTAGTTGGACGTTAATTCATTATGTGATGAGAAATCAGCCTTTTATTTGGTTCCCAGCGAATAACAACTTTGTGTCAACCAACCTAAACCAAGGAAACGAAAAGAAAATTGGACGAAGAAAAAAAGCTTTGCCTGCGAACCAGAAAAATAAATATTATTTTCAACATTCCACATTTCTAATGAATCCAAACTCCCAAAGCACTGGGAGTGAAAAGCAAAACTATAACTCCCAGTAAATTACCTAAAGGCTATTTGTATCACCTTTAATCAAAAATAGTCTCATTTTTCATCTCTTCTTATGAATATCTAATCACACTTAATTGAAGGTAAAAAAAGGGAAAAGTCATTCAATCGATTCTTTCACCCTTTCTGACTCTTTTTCACTCCAACTTTTACCTTCACCAAAAAAGCATAATTAGTTGGACTAATTAGTGCATCAATTGACTGATTGGTACAAGACTATTTAAATGGTTCAAGTTGTTTACAATACAATCAAGAGAAAAAGAAAGAGAAGAAGGAAAAAAAGGATTGCAAAGTGAATTTACATTTGCATTTGATAGGAAACAATTACCTTTCTCTTTTTCGTTCAATGCAATTGTAAATATTGAAAGATTGGATTGATGATCATGAAGCTCATCGCCAATCTCTGTGTGTATTCATATTCAATGTTGACTTGATTTATCATTGTTATCCTTTGATTCCCTTGTGAACTCAATGAAAATCTATCAATGGAAAAGTAAACAAATTGTTGATTACTGATTGAGTTAACATTAAATTGATCATTATCTTTGTCAACAAGAGACAGGAATAAAGTATTTATACCAATCAACATGTAAACCTAAACTCACTTTTGCTTCACTTGTCGACTGTCAGAGTAAATTTGCATTTTGCTAATTATTTCACTTTTCATTTTTCCATCAAATGAACCTTTTCCTGCGTGTCAATCAGTTGTTCATTAACGCTTTTGATGATAAGTTTTCATTTGTTTTCCTTGTTGATGCTTGGACATAACCTTTTGCTACTGTCTTTGATTAATAATTCAATTTTATTGAGTTTTTTGTATTTTCTCTGCTTTTTTCTTCTCCAATTACTTTTCGCCACTCAATGATTCAATTTATTTGAATCGGTTTAACCTTTATTGTTGCTTGGTGTTTCAGGTTAGCATTATCGGCCAATATTTATTTAATCAAATATTTACTTTACTCTAGATTAAGTAACATTCAGCATCAATCATTAGTAACTGAAAGCAAATTAAACTTTCTTATGTTACATCAAATCTGCTGTTTCATGACATATTTCATTTCACATTTGTTATCACAAGTTAACGTCGCTTTTATGCATGAATGGAGAGCAAATGATTTATCAAAAATTAACATTTACGAAAAGACTTATTTTGAAAATAATAAACTTACTCTGAAGTATTCAGTCTGAGCATGTAATATATCGCCACTAAAAATGAGTTGGAAACATTGGTAAAAGCAGATTCATAAAGTATCAATAAATTATTTAGAAATCAAATCGAATGCTGAGATAATCTGGTGAAATCAGCTTTGTTTCATTGCAATTCATTGCATGTTAATTGAATATTGAAAGTGGAATCTGAGTTTGTTCATTGGCCATCGTACGATTTTGCATTAGTTGGCCGACATGATGGCCAATACAACGCTACACAAGCCTTTAACTCACGACCGAAGGCTCCAGCAAGTTGATGACTCTGGTTGGAATCTAGGCTTTGGGACTGCAGCAACTCTTCAAGTTGCCAGTTTTTCTTGAGGCTTGATGTGCATTCGCTTCAGTATTGATCATAAATCATCATAATTGAAAAACTCGGACATCAGACTCTCGGATCGTCTTGACAGTGCGTTAGATGCTCTTGAAGATGCATAAAATCTGAAGCAACAGACTGCTTTCATTTGTGAGGCTATTCACTTGAGTTGTTACCTGATCTCTAGTTTCGTTCAAAAATGATAAATCATAATTACGATCTGCATCTAATTGCTGATAAAAGCGATTAAACCGATACGATAGTGAATTACATAAATGTGCTAATCTGCATGAACGTAGCTCCAAACTTCTGATAATCCTGTGATGCATAAAATGCATAAAAGCAACAAAATAGCCTTTAGCTGGGAATTTTTTACCAACCATTTTCATCCTTTTGTTTCTTTTTTACTTTTTTAGCTGATTTTAGTCATATTTATTTATCATTCACCTTTTATCCTGAAGAAATATTTCCAGTTACAAAATTCTATTTGAATATTTGAATACTTGTGCATTGAATAAAAGTAGATTTAGCAGCACATGAGAAACATTTTGCATTTCAATTAAAGGAACAAAGCCTGAAATCAATTCCTGAATTTGATCCCTGAAAAGAAAGTTAAAGCTGATTGTGAATAATCATTTTCCGCATTCCAATTTACTTAAGGCACTCAAGCCATTCCAAGGAAATGCTCAACAACCATTCACTAAATGAAATCGAAACAAAATGTTTTTAATGTTTCAATTGAACAATTAAACAATAAGTTTGATTAAACATTAATGATGGTTAATGATAGTTAATGATGGCTAGTTGAGAGTGAAAAGTTACAATGAAAGTAGAACAGCAAATGATTAAATCGATGATTGACTCGAGTAATTATACAATAAATATTGATAATAATATCTGTGGCAAGGGAATGGTTGGAATTGAATGGATAAAAGATAAACCATTTTGCTGTTTCTAATGGAAGGAGATGCTCGATGAAAGGAAAGGAAAAAAAAGAAGAAAAGAAAATATTATTTCTGGTTAATCGTTGAAGGGTCCAATGAGATGGACTTTAAGAGTGCCATGAATGAAAGAGAATCTAAATTAAACGTAAACACTGATTGATCCAGTTATTGGGGTTAATGTTTCGTGGAGTCACAAGGAAAGAGGGAAAAGCGAAAAGGGTTCATCATGAGAATCTGTACAAGGAATCATCTGAATCTTGTTCCCCTTCCATTGGACAGGCAAAGTTATTTCACTCAACAGACTAGATGAGATTTTGATTGCTTTTATCGCCAATTCTTTTCTTCTCAAAGGGTTCACAACACTTTCCGTCATCTTGCTTCCCTCATCACCATCATCCTCATCCTCATCATCAACCAATCTTTCATACAATTTCATCCCCAATCAAACAAAAGAGTAACACCAGAAGTATAATGATGACCATTGAAAATCCATTTCTTCATCAAATTATCAGAATAATCAATAATCTTGTAAAAGACAAACAAGAATAATCGCCATTTCTTCCCTTTCATCATAAACCAGCAAATCTTTGCATTCATTTTTACTCGTTTTATGCTTGATTTATCAACTTCACTGCATTTCCGAGTATAACTTTCACTTTTACTCATTTAGCTTTACAAATGGACAACAAATTGGTGAATCATTTCATGAGAATGATATTGAAGGATCAGTTGAGGCTGTAATGAGCATTGAAGACACACAGAAGTAAATAATTTGGCTAAATCATTTAGGAAATTACAATGATTGCAATCAACCAATCGATAAATTTATAAATTGATTTGAAAGGAAATTTTTGTTCTATAAGTTGATTGATGGAACAATTGGAATTTCAATTTTCGACTTTTCAACTTGCCAATTAAAGTTGAAGATATTGTTGGTTTGTTGGTTATGAATTTGACTGAAGAAGGGAAAACCTTTTCAACTCTTTTCTCGTATTCAAGTCGATTAATCACAGTCAGAGATGGTTCAATTTGTGAGGCAAATTTGGATGGGATTTTATTTCAAAAAAAGTTTCAACTTTTCCTTTTCACATGAAATGATTTCAGGTTGAGAGGCTCATTGTAATACATTGTACTTTGTATATATTGAAATCAATAAGTTAACCTTTTCAAGTTTCAATCAACTATATTTAATAATAAATTGAATTGCAATTGAAATTGAAGGATTTTGTTTCATTCCTTTCTCCCTTTTCTGTGTTTCTGATGAACGAAAAATTGAGAGATTTGTTTTTGTCTCTGTTATACGTTTTGTCAACCTTAAACATGGCAAAGGCGTTTCAAATTGTTGAATGAATTTCACTTTTAGTTTCTCAACTCAATCAATTGTCACAAAGAAAGCAACCATAAATGGGACAAAAAAGGCAATTAATTTAACAAAATGATCACAATTTGATTGCAAAAATAATGCATCACTTGATAGAGCAAAGAGTTTAACCCAAAAAAACAAAACCCAAAGTAAATAGGAAAAGTTGAAGGAAAAAGTTGCCTTCAAATGTTGAGATGTTTGAGTAAAAAAGTCATTTCGTTAGAAATGGAAAATAATTGTTAATCTAACGAACGAAATGAACTGTCCATTGAAGCATTTCGAGACTTTTGTTTATCCATGTTTATCAATGTTACAAGTGATATTATCAATAAGATAATAAGAGTTTGGATCAGTTTTGTTTTGTTTTTTCTTCTCATGGAACAGAGAAAAAATGATATCTTCTTTTCTTTTCTTTTGTGGCTCAGGTAACTAAGGATTCATCTCGTTATGGTGAAAATTGGATGAGCAATTCTCATTCATCATCATCTTCTTCTTCTTCTTCCTTGCACCTTCATCATCATCCTTTTGGTGGTTATTTTTATCTTAATTGGTCACATCCTTTTGTTCAATCAAACATGATCAGTTGCCTTCAATTTTGGCTTCAACATGGTGTTGATGGTTTCTATCTGGTAAACCTTGACTCTCTCTATCTTGATCCAGATTACCCTGAAGCAATAATAGATATTCTTGATAACATTCGTTCCCATGTAACCTCATTTCGTCCTCATACCTTTCCAGGTGAAAAAATACTCGCTGCCAATAGACAATCACTTGATTTAATCAATGAACGTTTACGCTCAGCTCGAGCAGATCAACTGTTAAATCCTTTTGATTCCCATGAAACACTTGATTTTACAGTTTCATCAGGTAAACACCGAAAACACGGTAAACCCTTGACACCGTCTTCTTCATTGACACACTCGTCAATGGAAAATGAGAAAAATGTTTACTCTTATTTTGATTGGGTTAATATTTTCATAACAATTGAGCTCAATTCAACCGAAATCATCCGTGATCAGGTAAACGGTTACTTTCTTAATGCACCAAAAAGTCGTCCCTTGGTTCTCTGGTCCATTGGTACTGCCACCAAATCACGGCTTGCCACCCGCATAGGTAAAGATTATACTCTGGTATCAACCTTTCTCCTAGTTATGCTTCCTGGTTCAATCAACTTTTTTTACGGCGATGAGATTGGCCTAGCAAATTCAATTGATCCGGCCTCAGGAAGGGTAAGTGCATCGACCATTTAAACCTTGTTAAGTCAACCTAGTAAAGTCCATCCAACAGCACCAAAAAGCTAGTCATAACCCTGAAGACTCACATGACTCGACCCAACTCGTCTGTTAAGAGTAAACCTAAGCAAGCTCATCTCATAGGTTGAGATTAAACCAAAAGTCTCGTGACTTTGGCCGAACCTTTAATTTAGCAAAACTGCAAAGTTTCAAGGCAACTGACTTCCAGTCTAACCAGTCATTGATTTAAATTAATGAAAGCTGCACAAGCATTTTCCAGAGACTAGAGCGAATCATTGATTCTTCTGAAGATTGAACTTTATCAACTCTAAACTTATTTCCTCTTATGCAATAAGACTAGACTCGAAATGCTCTACTGATTATTGCCTATCCAAATATTCGGTCGAAATAATCATTACTCAATAATAATTTTGAAAGTTTCGGTTATTTTTATGCTTAGAGAAACAACTTTACAGTCAATCGTCAAAGACTATGAAAGACATCACAAACATATCGATCAAGATTGCTAATGATGCGAAGCTATCTCCATGGTCGATTACTTTGTAATACCTTTCTAAATCTTAACTATTCGACTGAATTCCTTTATTCTAGATCAAGTATGATTCGAATTTCTATAATTCTCGAGTTTTGTTCAAAATGGTTTGATAATTGATCCAATCGTAGGCTTGTTTGTACAAAGCAACTTCAATTGTTGAACCATTTTACAATACAATATCTTTCAATGAGAAAATTTGATTCAAACCATTTCTTTACTTTTCTTTCTTTTCTCCATTTCACATTAATTCATCACAATCGTTGATATTTATCAATTTGAATACAATTTAAATTGAAATAATTAAATTTACTTCTCCATTTAGCAATCAATTTGGTTCATTCAACATAAATCTTTATTCATATTTCATTGCATTGATTTCAAACAAAATAACCCAAAAAAAGCAAATCCTTTATTCCTTTGAATCTTGAACCTCAAACATTATATTATCATGATTCTATTTTTACTCCTTTTTCTTTGGAAACTTCAATTGATTTGACATTTCCAAATCATAATTTCATTTTGAAACATCCTTCATCATCATTCCTCAACATGCAATTTTGATAAATTAAACAATGAGGAAAAGCGTACAAAAATTGAAACATTAATATTCAAAAGTCATTCATCTTAATTCAAATGCTATTCCCCTCAACAATTAAACAATAGTTGATCAGTTGAAATCAAAGCTGAAAAAATTGGACCAGATTAATGTAGAGAAAAATGAATGAAGAAAAGGTTGAAAGGCCTAAGGTTGAAACGTGTAATTCAAAGAAAATTTTCGTTTATCCAACCAGTTTCATGATCATGATGATCATGGTCTTCAATCTTTCATCTTCACCCTTGTAAGAAGAGAAACATTGTCATTTAACTTGAAAAGGCCATTAATTTGAAGCTTGTTTCTGTTGAAAGGTTTAATCTTAGTTGACGATAAAAATCAAGTAAATACAATGCAAACATAATGATCTTGTTTCATTCGTACTTTTCATGTGAGAACATTTTTTATCAGAAAAAAACAGAAATGATGAAAATAATCTTTACCTTTTCTTTTAATCAACTAAAATTGAAATGGTCAATATTGATGGAAAACTTGAAAAGGTCAACATCAGCCTCGATTATTATTTGATTTACTTACACTTTTTTTTCTGTCTTTTTTTCTTCGACTTTTACTTATGATAGGAATACAGACAGGGTCAGTTGTGTCCTGTTCCATGGACCTCGGAATTGAATGGAAACTTTTCTGGTGGAAATTTAACTCATCCTTGGCTTCCTATTAATACCAATTACCTATTGAACAACATTCAACGGGAAAGTGAAACAATTGATCGACTTCGTTCTTTAATTGTTTTCCGTGAACATCATTTAAGATCCGATTGGACTGAGAAACAGGGAAATTATCTGTTCCATTATGTTAACCAAGGTTTCATTGGTTTGGAAAGATATTTTACTCGAACTTTGGTTAATGGAAATGTTATTAGACATCGATTTGTTTTGTTTGCCAATATTGGAACAATTGGACGAATCAAAGATTTTACTGATAAATTTCATTTTGGAACCATCAAGGTTACTTCAAATGTAAAACGAATCCATGATTTTCTCTATTTAAGATCATTAAGTCTGGATCCAGGAGAAGCTTTAATTGCTGAAATGGAATAAAATTAATGGCTCAAATCATTGAAAAGGGTAAACTGATTCAATTCCGTTCAATGCAATAAAATACAAACATTGAAAACATGTCAGTCCATGAATAGCATTAATCAATATTAAAGTCTTTAAATCGAGTGAAGCACAGGGAGTTTCCGTCAATACGTCTGTGGTCACAACTCAGGAACCATTAACTACAAATCTGTCACTGAGAAAAGAGCTTCGATCAATTAAGAAACAAAAAGTTCTAATTTTCAAGGTCACTCAGTTCGCTTATTCAACCCAAAAGATTGGTAATTGAAAGATTTCTAGACAATTATACTTCTAATGGCCATTGACTTACAACAAACATAAACCAGTCTAAAAGTGATAGTTGCTCTTAAACTGCAAATGGACTTCAAATATCGGTCAAAGGTCTCATAAAAGCTTGACATTGAACCCGATTCCGATGTTCTGTTTTAGTCTCAATAGCCATTTTCACATGTATTTTGATCCAATCACTAAATGACTAAAAATAGTCAAGGAAATGTGTTTCTGAAAAAGCCAAAAATGGTTTTAGGCTTCTCCAAGATTCTAGTCTGATGATTCGTTGTGTAGCTGATCAGATCATGAAACTGAAATGTGTTTTTAGCTTGAAACACTTCTTTTATTCTTGAAGTTATTAATGATAATTTTTATTCTTCTTTTTGTAACAGATGAAATTATCTAAATTGTATTGAATTTTAAATTTTGGAATTGGATTCAACTGGAATACAGAAACAGAAACAACGATCAAGTTAAAGAGGCTTAACTTGTTGATTTATTTGATTATGTTAATATAGCAACTACAATGTAAATAAATATTGTAATACACTTTTCAATTTGACGATTGTACATTAAACAAAAAGGTATAATCATACCATTATAATGATAACATCAACAATTGTAAATTAATTATCAATGGCAATACAAGTGTACAATAAAATATTCAAAATGGATGCAAATAGATCACCAGATTTGGCTTTTCTTGATAATTTTGGCTTTTAATTGGAACCACAAATAATCACAATTGACGATTATTGTTTAGACCAACTGGTTGATTACAATTAATATGATTGATTAAATGAAATGATTAAATTTTCATGTAAAATGTGCCTTCGACTTGAATGTATTCCAGGATTATGATGCTAATATTAAGGGCAAAAATAAATGTTAACAATTTGAAATAAAACAGTTTACCAATCAATTTGTCATTCAACTTGAATGGTTAAACATGGTCAATTTGTATGAAATAAGGTCAACTTTTAGGTTAAAGATTGGCTCGGATTCACCAAAAAACATGATAAAGGTGAGATGTCCTAATGTTTATCTGTTAATCATGTACTCAACATAGTCCAATCCAGAAAAGACAAAATGAGATTTGATCATCCTTTTCATCTTACCAGAAACTCTTAACCAGAAAATAGTCTTGCAAGCCATTTTAATATTTATCTTCCTTTTCCGTCTTCTCCAGTCATCTTCACACCCATTACTGTCTTCACTTTTACTGTAATTTTCATCCCAAGTTTCATCAACAGTATAAGTCTTGTTTACACAGCTAAGTAAGTCTTGTAAGGCCGAGAAACATTAAAATCTCAACCTAAACAAGTCACCCTCTTCCCATCAAAACTAACATTCACTGGAATCATTTTCATGCTAATTACGTTCATCTTATTGCAAATGTTTCCGCCATCTTTATCTCCTGTTTAAGCATTCTCTTACTGAATTGGGTTTGAAAGTTTAAAATTTTCAAGGGCTCAAAAAATCTCGACTCTCTTCATATCCACAATGAGCATTGTTAATAGCTTCAATCAATTTCAATCCATCACTAAATGATTAAGCACGGATACTTATGATTATCTTATATTTGATCTCAATGTGGAATGTAAAGAAATATTAAGTTCATTATCATCGATAACCGTTGAAGATTTCTGTAAAATTTTCAGCTCATTTCTTTCAAACTTTTTTATCTCCTCTGTTTATTCAATTTGAAAATCTCTGTTTTTATAATCCATGCAATGGAAATTGGAAATTTTTTATGGTTCATTCTGGTTTGGTTTGGTTTGAAAATGTGAAATAATGAAAATAAGTTATTTTATTATTTGATTTTTGAGCCTATTATGGAATTGAAATTTATCTATTTTGTAATCATTTAAATTGTTGGTGACTTGATTACCTTTTCTCAGTTTTCATTTTTCTGGTTTAGAGAGCTGCATTTTAAACTAACCGCTTTACATCTGCTATTGTATATTGTTGAAGAACTCATGCGCGAGCTGAATGTATTTTGGCCCTGAAGGTGATTTTTTGCGTCAAATTTTGTGATTGTAATCAAATTTAATTATTTTGGCTATGCTCTAAATTACTGTGAGACTTTCAATTATTTCATCCCACTAATCCCATCTTGATCATTGGTTGTTCGACTGGTCAATCTTTGGCAATGTCTACAGATCCTATTACAATCCAAAAACTCAAAGTAAGTCAGCTATGTGTACTATTTTTTTTCTTTATGTTTATTCGTAAACATTTGTTTTCCCTTCAGTATTTCATAAGGGACAACAAATTTTATTTCTAGATTAGCTTGTTTATCTTTGGCTTTTTAATTGAGAATTAGAAACTTTAATAGATTATCCTTCGTTTCATCTATCTGTTTTATTCTTGAAGCTTCTTTCGCCCTCATTTCAACTTGCTTTTATTAACCGTTTTTTTCTTTCCTCCCTTCCTCCCTTCCTTTATTTGCTTCTCTTTCTTAGAGTCAGGTCATGAGTTTTCGTGTCGCTGAACTTCAAATGCTCCTTGGATTTGCTCAAAAAAGCCGAAGTGGGAAAAAACACGAATTACAAACTAGAGCTATAAATTTATTACAAAAAGGGAATTTAACTCTTGCTGTTCAAAACAAGATTCGCGAGCTTCATCAACAAAGGTTCGCCTACACCAATTCAGACTCTCAAGGATCAGATACAAGCTGTTATGGAAGTAGTTCAGCTTCAAAAGTGTCATCTTCGTCTTTAAGTAACGGACTATCTCTTCCTCCTGGAGCTTCGACCAGGGGAGCTCCACAAAACGCAGCTAATATGTTGAACTCTAGTTTACCTACTGATTATTATTCTAGTATGCCACGAGGTTTAGGAGCATTTGACTTCTCAGCTTCTTCTCCATCCAATTCTAAATCTTACATTTCTTCTATGCCAACGCCAATGCCTTATCCAGTGCTGGCTGATGTCAAATTTAAAATTTTGCCTTTCTTTGACATTCTTGGAGATCTTTTAAAGCCAGCCACATTAATGCCAAGCCCTGGTGTTAGATACCAAGAGAATAATTTTAGTTTTCATTTGACACCTCAACAAGCTAATGATGTCTCGCTTTCTCGTGATATAAAACCCGATGGAAAGGTTGACTATGGTGTACAAATCCAAATGAGGTTTTGTTTATTAGAAACGAGCTGTGAACAAGATGATAATTTTCCACCAAGTATCTGTGTTAAAGTTAATGATGAATTGTGCCCTCTTCCTGTAAGTCTGGTTCAATAACATTCTTTATCCGATCTATTTATACTGATTTCATTTTTTACTCTATTTAGAATCCCTTGGCGACAAATAAACCAGGAGTAGACCCTAAAAGGCCTAGTAGGCCTGTTAATATCACAACATATTGTAGGATATCACCAACAGCAGCAAACCAAGTGAGCATAGGATGGGCGTCTGATTACAACAAAGCGTATGCTGTTGGAATCTTTCTAGTTAAGAGGTTGATTGCAAACAACTTACTGCAAAGGATAAAATCTAAAGGAGTGCGGAATAGCGAATATACACGTGCAATGAGTATGTTTAACGTTTCGTTGGTTCTGGAAAAAACATCTAATACAATACATTTTTTTAATCCCTATTCTAGTCAAGGAAAAGTTAGCTCAGGACCCAGACTCAGAAATTGCTACCATGATTCTTCGTGGATCTCTTCTTTGTCCGGTAATTATATCGATATTATTATATATTTCTATATACACTTTTGAACTTATGTCTAATAATTCATCTACCTTACAGCTTGGTAAAATGAGAATTCAAATGCCTTGTAGAGCAATGACCTGCTCACATATTCAATGTTTCGATGCTTTATTGTACTTACAAATGAACGAAAAGAAACCTACTTGGGTTTGTCCGGTTTGTGATAAAAGTGCTTTATTCCAGCATTTGGTCATAGACGGGTAAGTTAAGGAGTTGACTATTCTCTTTATTCTTGTTTACTTATTTTTATCTATTTCCATCAACAGGTTATTCACTGAGATTTTAAGTCAAGTACCTGGTGACTGTACTGAAGTTCAATTCCATGATGATGGCTCATGGACTCCATTATTACCCAAAAAGGAGCTCTGTGAAACTGTTAGTGTGAATAATATAAATAAGCGAGCTAAAGAAGAACGTAAGTTGAATAATTTTGTCTTATTATCACAATATAACAAGTTTTACATTTATACAATTGCTTATTTATCTATTTTTGTTTTCAGCAATTTCTCCTCAACCTAAGAAAACGAAATCTGATATTGAAGTTATCACTCTTGACAGTGATGATGAAAATGAAGATGAAGGTGGTAACGATGACGATGAAGAAACTGATGACGACGACACTGAAGATGCCGAAAACAATGGTGTCGATAAAACAGCTGAAAAAGCATCTCGAACACATAAAGGGTCTCATACAGGCCAATCATCACCAATCATTTCATCTAGATCCAGCAGTAACTCTGAAGCACCAAACATCTCATTACCATCGCCCGATTCATCAACAGGATCTTCAATTTGTTTAAATGTTCCTCACAACTCAGATGGGTCTAACAACTCAAGATCGATCATGGAAAGTTCACATACGTCGACTCCATGTTATGCTCCAACAAATAATACCAGGTATTTAACGGGTATTTCTGTAGTATAGGCAGTTCCAACCGTAATTTTTCAATTTGTCTACTTTCTATTTTTGCATTTTTTTCTTCCACCTTTCATCTGTCTCAACTTAAATCAAGATACAGCTTGTTTTCACTTTTTCACCACGAAATTTCCTGCGAAAGCAATGTTGAATAAAAATTTATTTTAAACATTTTAAATTTTCTTCTCTCTCTCTTTCTACTTTTTCATCCATTCTTTCCACCTCCTTTTCACTGTCATTTAAATATTTTTCAAACTTAGACCAGGAATCAATCCAGTTGCTGGAAATTTTACGCCTAACTCAGGTCCACCCTCTATGGGAACCAGAGGAAGGATATCATTAGGCGGTTTACCTTATCATTCACGTTCAAACATTAATGTATCTCCGTCTTATCCAGGAATGCCTATTCTTAATCCTAGTGCAGCCCCTTTTTATCCATCAAACACATCTAAATCATACTCAGATCCTTATGATTACGTCCTTTCCAATTCAAATTCCAATCCGATGTCGTATGGATGCCCAAGTGAGTCTTCCTTCAATCTATTCATTATATTTGCTTCTAAAAATATTATTTCCATTATCTGACAACGTTTATTGTTTTATTCAACAGACTATGACGTTTATCATGGCCATAATCATATGTTTAATGGTGATATGTCTAGAGAAGTAAGTAATTATCATCTTTTAAAGTTTACTAAGGTTAACCATTGATTTTGTATCAACAAAAAAGGGCAAAGAGCGAAGAAAAATACTGATTTTTTGCAATCGGTAGTTTCAGTAATGATTATATCAAAAATAGAACTCTAATCATCAATTTATAATTACTAATCGAGGTTTAGAATTGAATGTTTTTTTCTCACAGAAATATTTAGCTAATTACTTTCAGGAAAAACAACAGAACTGTGAAACCCTTTTTTCTTGACATTCATTCCATTTTACTATTTGTTTTGTATTTTTAAATGTTCATTTCTTTTATTGATTTTTGGGTTCTTTCGAATATATTCAAACTATTTTCTTTTCTCCTAACAGCTTTCGTCTTATAGAAGTGGTTCATCATCAGGAGCTCGACCTACAACTGAATCTGGTCCAGAATTAATATCCCTCGATTGACTGTCAATGGACGACTTACAGAATTCTATTTGAATTTTAATCAATTTTCATCTGTGTTCACTCCTTCATTACTCATTGCCATATCATGAATGAAAGGAATCAAACATTCAGCTTTATTCAGCATTGCAAATGTTTTATAGTAACTCACGGTTGGTTTAAAGGTCTTTTGACCGCCGTTATAATATATATTTTCATTTATTTATGTGTATATATATAATTGAAAATATTTGGAAATCAAAAAAATGATAGCAAATGAAGAGAATTTGCTTCTCAATATGAATTATGGGTATCAATGGAACGTGAATACCCAGCAATTGTTTTATATGGAGTAATGGAATCGACCATTCATTAATTGGGCACAATCTAACTTAATCGCCTCATTTGTTTCCATTTGGATTTTCCAGCAAGAATCTCACAAATAAACAATCTTGATTCATGTTTTTATTGCAATCATGATTGGTAAAAGTTTCTTTTCCCGATTTCTTTTCTTACTTCCTTCCCTTCTCGGAAAAAGTAGATATTTAATGCAAACACGTTCTACTAAAGTGATCGAATCGATTGTCCGCATTATCATTTGTACATCATTCTCCAATTTTTAATAGAAATAGAATCAGCAGATTATTATAATCATGCTTAATCCAACATAACAACCAAAGTTTTACAAAGTCCATTAAATAAATCATAGACTTGAGTTCATTTCTCATTAAAACCTTTTTCATTTTCTTTTGCTATTCTCATTCAAAATACCTTGCTATTTAAATTGTGAATGATTTTATAAAATAAATTATTTTTTGTAAACTAGCGTCTGTTTTTTATTTTCCAGATTAATTGTTCATTTTGAGTAAAGCTATCGGTACATCTTAGCCGGTAAAATGGCGTTTACTTGCAACTAAATTATTTTATGACTTTACTTTGAAGCTAAGCAAAACAAATTGATTTTAGTTGTCACAATCAAGTTAGACTTGAACAATAAAAAAGCTTCTTCCCAACACTAAAGGAAACAAGTATTGATTAAAAGTGTTGATTACTAAGATTCAAGGCAGTTGAAAATTGATCATTTCATGCAGTTGAAATGATTCAATAATTTGCATGCACCGACAAATTGATGAGTTAGTTTTGGTTAAATTAAGTTGAGTAATTAAGCTCTACCAAGCTTGACATAAAAAGTGTGTTATCAGAGTCTTCTTGATATACTGGTATTAAAATCAATAGTACTTGAGAGTTGATTAGAAACAAATTGATTTTTCGTTAAAAAATGAATTCTCGCACTTTTTCTATCCTCCAAAAAATTTAATTCATGCAATTTTTTGGTAATCTTTGAACCAATTATTTCGGTAAAAGTTGTATAACAGCATAATCGGACGATCTCATCCAATTGTCTGGAAGTGAGGCCCATTGTGATTTATCCTTGAATCCAACACAAACCTCAGCTTTAATTGATCGAAGAGTGCACAGATTAGTTGGATGGAAACCACGAAGAGCAGTTTCAAATGGAGTTGTGTTTTCCCACGCCAAGTCACCAACAAGCTTGCGATAGTTTAGATCACCTTTGAAGATTAACAAATCAGCTTGAGAAAGCTGTGAATAGAGCTTTGGAGAAACGTTACTCATGGAACTGAGATCATAAGGAAGCGTCCAAAATGAGTCTTCAACAATTGACCAAGTTCCAGAGGAAAGATATTCCTTCCATTTTTTACCCAAAGATTGAAGAGAAGGAGATTGCGAACACTGGATCAGATAATCAATAGTCCATTCAAAATCATATTTAAGTGCATCCGAGACGAACCAAGGAATTGTTTTGACATACCAACGAACTGAACATTTATCAGCAGGTAGTAAACCAGATGAGTGAAGGAACTCAACCAAACAAAGATCTGTAAATAATTCAAATCCAGAATTGTCCAGGATGATATCAAGAATAGGCTTGTTAGACGAGGACGATAAAGATTGAATAATTTGCCATAATTTATCACTGTCATTAATGAGTATATTGGATCGGAGTTTCAGGAGATCATCCAATGGACTAGAAGTTTGTGAACAGTCTTTACCAGCAGTTAATGAAAGGTCGCATTTATTGCCCCAAAGTGAAACCTCAATCATTTTAATTGTTTCATCTTTCAGTGAATCTGGAGACGTTTTTAATTGAGTTACGTATTCACCTAAAAAATGCAGGGTAAAAAAGAAATAGAAAAAGTTAATTGATGAATCAAATTCTTTATCTGTTTTTCTGTTATTAAAACAGTTTTTGTGGTATTGTAGTGTAAGTGATGATTATACTATTAGAGAAAATGATTACAATTCAACAAGATGAAGCTCATTAATAAAAAATAAATGGTTCGCTTGAATAATGACTATTAGAAATAAGATTCAAGTGGAAATATCTTTTGTCAAATAGTAACCTTATTACTATTCATTGGCATAAATGATTATCATTAATGGAGCAACAAAAAACTCAATGAAAGGATCATTTAAATGAGCATATACATGGGAATTTTATCGATAATCAGCTGACCGAACGTGAAGAGCAAAAGAGATTTTCGCATGTTTCCTTTCAAACAATCAAGTCATGTGTAAAATGGAGCTGATTTGAGACAGAAAAGGATAAAAAGTAATGATATAAAAAAATTGATGGATCCAAGAAGACGAAATGAAGAGATAAAATTTTGAGTGTGTTTTAAGGATGGGAACACGAGTTGAGCCTCCTTCAATCAACTTGATAATGATATGTTTTAAATTAAAGAGTGAGTGTGTCTTGCTACTGTTGAAATGTTTCTTAATGTTAACTGTAACAAAAAAATGACATTAAACTACATGAGCTAAACAACAGACATACACCTGATTTACAAGTTATTTGCCCCATTAAGTCAATTAATTGTCTTCATTTTCGCATTCTGAATGACAAATTCACTCTCAATCATTTAGTTTTCTCGCTTGTTAGTAAACTCGGCTTTTTTTCTTATCATCTTCTGTTTCGTCTTCTCATTTCCATCCTTTCGAGTGATTCTAGGCCAAGTATAGTTGAAAGTGTGATTAACAATTGGAGGGGAAACTAACATATCGGAGTTGATTAGTTTAAATAAGCTTGAAACTGTAAAAAAGAAGAAAGAAAGAAAAAGTTTTAGTAATTTAACCAATTTACTGATTATTCCCGTCATCATTCCCGTCATCATCAACAGGAGTTAGAAATGGTTAGTTTTCTGAGATGAAACACTTTTTCAAAACAAGTAAACAAGAATGACAGTTGATTGTATTGTGAGCTTCTGATAACGTTATTTTTGCGACAAATCATCTTCACTATGGACTTGTAATGATCAACTATGAAGTAAATTTGATAGTGAAAACCATTTAATCTGATCTCGTGAAAATTTCCATCAAAACTGTGTATCATGTCTATTTTGAAGAAGTTCAAACTCTTTGGTTGCAAAAATTTAATCAACTCACTTGATGGTTCAAATCAACTGATTACTATACTTAAAGTTAACTTAATTGCTTACCTAGTTTTCGATTATATAATTAATTTGTATGTTATTTGTTCTGTAGATTTTGTTACTAAAGAAATTGAACGTCGACATGATCGTTCAAATTGTCTCAATCCTGATCACATTGTCATCATTACGTGCCTTTATGCTTCCCTTGTGATTTCCATCGTTCTAGATGTAGTTGGACTTTTAGGTATAATCAAGGAATATCCATTTCTGTGTCTTCTAAATGTTTGTCAACTATCGATTGGTGTTTTAAAAGTAGTCGTTGTTTTCAATTACCTTCCTCTTGTGGCTATACATATGTTGTTTGTTATCCTTTCCCTGATATTTGCAGTCATTGTGATACCGAAAGATGACAAACTATTCATTTGTAATCCTTAATGTGAAAGTTCCAAATTCATTTAACATGTATTAAAATTTAAATTTTCGATGCTCAGAAAATTAATCATTAACACAGTGAAATACAGCCAAAACAATGAGAATAAACTTCCACAGCTAATAACCAATAAAACGACATTATGTTGTTAAAAACCACAAAATAGAAATGACAATATGATGAGCAAGTGACAATCAACATCAAATATCTGGTTAAACCTAGCAAACCTGATTAAACCACAAAAATTATTTTAGTTGAAGCAAAAAGCTGTCAAAGTCAGCAAAAATCAATATGGAACCAGGAAACAATTGCAGTCAACATACCTAATGTAATGGTTGCACTCATTGATTGCTTGAGGGCATTCCTTTTTTGTTCATAGAATGGATCAAAAGAAGTGAAATATTTGCTTTTCACGAAACTTTCATGAATCCGTCGGTACATGTAACACTCGGCATATAACCACGAGACTGAGTAATAGGTTGGACAAGCTGACAATTTCTCTGTCCATGAATCAAAACACTTGTTCCATATTGTTACATCACTGCTGTTATCAGTCAAATAGGCCAATGGCTTGTCTGTCATCATCTCATAACGTAATTTTGAGAAGCTTCCCAATATTGATTTGGCCTCTTCTTCAGCATCAACCTTAGCCGAGTCAGAAAGGTTAACATGATGTGAAACTAAAAAATCACGATATGATCTTACAAAATAATCTAATGCTTTAACCAATATTTCTGGTAATCTTTCAGTTATAGTGAGGAAAGCAAAGCATCTAGAAAAAAAAGAAAATCAATAAAAACATTGCCAATAAAATAATTCTTAAGCAAAAGGGCTGTGAAAACGATGAAATAAAAACAGAAAAAAACGAAACATTTATACTTACGATTTGTCAATTGGAGCAATTGGATCAGGTATATTACTCATAACAAACGATAGATTAGACTTGATTAGTGTAGTTTAAACAACTATCAGGTAAGTAAACTTTGCTTTGGTGCACCGTGAATGTGTATATTTAAATAAAAACTACAGAACCGGACAATTATTCTGATTAATAATTTCTAACTGTCTTTGAATAAAATTAAAAGGATAAACAAACGAATAATCAACCGCGCCATCTAACATCGTCTATTGGATTTAATTATATTTCCGATTGCTGAGGTTGCTAGGCTACTTACCTCAGCTAACAAGATTGTAAACAATTATTGACATCATTTTTGACGTTTTTCTTTCTATTTTATTGTGTTTATTATTTTAATTCGTGAACCAAAACAAGCATGGATTCGACTGAAGAAACAAAACCAGCGAAAATTAGTTTCAAACGTGTTAAAAAAAGGCCTACAAGAAGTGCTATAGAGGACATTGAAAAGACAGCCGATGATTCAAAGGAGAGTGATGATGAAGAGGCATGGAGTAAACTGGAAGCAATTAAGCTTTCCAAATCTCTTAATAAAAGGGTATGCAAAGGAATAGATGCTAAAGAACTTCTGGTTGTCAAAAATAAAGAGCAATTAGCTCGAGACAAAACTGAAAACATTGGTGGATTATTGGACCTGAAAAATACCTTTTCAGTGGAGAAGAATCAGCGAGACGAAGATGAGGACATGTTGAAATTTGTTGAGGAACAATTATCCAAAAGAAAAGGTATCGTCAACCAAGAAGAATTTAAAGCCGAGAAGATTGACATGGATGAGTTGGTTTTCAAAAAAATACGTGAAGAATCCTTACTAAACCAAAAGAAAAAGAACGAAGAAATGTTATCGAGCCAAATGCTCTGTGGTATACCTGAAATCGATTTAGGGGTTGAGGAGAAAATACGAAACATTGAAGCAACTGAAGAAGCCAAAATGAAATTAATAGAAAAGAAAATCAAACAGAGATCATCGTCCAGAAACTCTACTCTAGTACCAACCAATGTAGCTGCCAACTACGTTCAACACAATCGTTTCAATGTTGATAACTCACATCATCCTGGACACAACAATAAAAAGGGTAGATTTAATAATCCACCTGCACCAACTTTGGTCAAGGAACCTGTTGTTGTTATAGGAGATGAGCCCAAACAAAATTACTTCCGATCAAATACTGGTCAAGGTAGATCGAAACTCGGATTCCCTGGAAAAGAAAAGGCCACTGATGATTATCATTTTGAAAAGTTCAAGAAACAATTTAGAAAGTGAAAGCCCAAGCATGTATAAAAGATTTTCCTAAGAGACAGATGAGGTATTCATGTGATCAATGAAATCATTCATATTAAGTTCTTTATTAACATTATCTTTTTATCCTAAAAAGCTCATGTACATAAACTGTACCCAATTTATACCATTGTTTATATTAAACAATTCCAATGCTTATTCACTGCATTCCCATCATTCTGAAAAACATTTTTTCTTTTCACTTTTTTATACAAGTCAAGGAAAAGTTAATCCGAATTCAGACTCAAAAATCGCAACTGTTTCTCCGTGGACCTCTTCGGTAATTATATTGAATCGATTATATTATATCTTGCTAACTAATGTCTAATAATTCGCATATTTTACAGATTGACAAAGTGAGATTACAGATACCTCGTAGAGCAATGACCTGTTCAATATCTAGTTCTTGCAAGAAATCCAATTAGGATGAAGGATTTGGATGGAGATAATCTGGTTTCAATTAATTAGACTTGAATTTGATAGTCTAGCTTAGGTTGAGTCTGATTGCATGTCATTAAAGATAAGAGTATACGAGTTTCTGTCAACTCTTTTTCTCTTGCTCAGTTAAGCTAATGTACGGTAGCGCTAGTGAATTAAATATTCTGCGGCAGTTCAATCCAATCTAATTTGATCCTTACTAATTAATCTTAGCCTGACATGGAATAATTTTTACCTATCTCGTCTCAATTAGTCTAATTAAGAACGGCTATATTCATCCGCGTGAATTAGCAAGCTGAGACTTCGAGAGTGAAAAAGCGAGTTGATAAAAACTCGTATAATCTTTACCAAAGACTGATTACTTCAATATCTGAAATGAGATGTAATTGACACAATGAACTCCATTCAGTCATTAAATTGTTACTAACATTTTCAACCGATAGACTTCACTAGTCATTACAACCTGCTACAAGTGACTTGGCGGTGGCGCTTCAAAAGCTATTCAACGACCAGAAGCAATGAAAATTAATGAACCAAAAACTTGAGCTTGCGTAAAGTAAAATGAATATAACATTTTATCGTTTTAAATCACATAATGTACAAAAACTTGTACAATACATCGTCCTTATTTTTACATAGTTTGTTTTACTTGTTTTCAATTTGATTCAACAGTAACAATTTACTAATTACTTTTTGCTCGGATTACAACTCATCTAACTACATATGCTTGAAACAATCTCACATTTAGTTGATTGTTAAAGTAAGTGTATTGCTCGCAGGAACTCCGTTACCATCTAAAAATGACGGGTAAGTTTAAACATTTAAACATCAAAAAACCCAATCTGGTTGATTAAAATATTACTTTTTTGTATTTAACTGCAATGAAAGTTATAAACAAAAAGCTAAAACAAATTATATTAAGTTAAACTAATTTCATTTCTGTTATTTTACTTTTGCCTGTTTAGCAGCCAACCTTTCTAACAGTATTGAGCCTTTTGAAGATCAAGTGGTTAACTACCCACCTCCACCTCCACCACCTCCATCCTCGATGCACCACACCGGTCATCCAGTGAATCCATCTGAAAATCACAGCATCCACCGTTTATCACCCAATGGAAGTCAAACTTACTCCTTCCACCGTAAATATGGACCAAGAAAAAAATCATTCATCGGATTTGATGGTAAGCGAACCAATCAAATCTTGGATATTTGATTATGGCTTAAATCACTGAGCATAAAAGCATGAAAATCCCAAAAATACACAAATAAATTCACTAATAAACCCGTTAACATTAACTGTATTTCAACTCCAAGTCTTGTTAGTTTACCTCCAAATAATTATTTTTGCACAGCACTTAACCTTATCTTTTACCTTTCTAATGTTTTTTGATCAACTTTACCTATTTGTACTAAATATGATATCAACAGTGAAAAACTAACCCTCGTTTTCATTGGTTTCATTGCTCAAGATTACAAAAGTTATGTTAGTCTGCTCAGGATCACATAACGAGTATTCAAGTAACTCGATGTGAATCAGACTCAAAGTTTCTAGAAAATTGTTAAAATGAAAGTTGCTTTTATTGGTAAAAGAAGATAAACTTTCGCTATTTTAAACACAATATTTCAGGTTCCTTTGAGATTCTCAAGATTTGGCTTTCAATTTTTATCCCTTTCTTTCCCTTTTCATCTTCTGTCATATGTTGTGTTTATCATCAATTCACACTTTACTTGAGTCAATATACCACTAACTGTGTTTACTTGTGATTCCAATTCTGGTTCAACCAATTCTGCAAAAATGAAATCAAGATAAAGTAAACATGAAACCAAGTAAAGGTGACAAAAAGGTCACTTAAAAATGGGTTCAAAATTGTACCAAAAAAGCGTCCAAAAAGTCAACCTGAAATTGGTTACCTGAAAGATGATTATCCAAACTCATCTTTATGCATTTGACCCTAAACCATTGAATAATAAAACCAGGAAAAAAAACATTTACTCAACACAGGAAAAAAAGGTTCACTAAGGTTAGGCAAACCTCAAAATAATGTCATGAAGAGTAAAAAAGAGGAAAATGATAAGCTCAAGATGAAATCAATTTTGCAGTTGTATTGATAAAAGAGCCATTATACATTATATTTATCATTGAAACTCACTTGAAATCTAAATATTTACAACTCTTTTCACTTTGACTCAATTTGAACATTGATAAATTTGCCTATCCATTGATATATTAATGTAATAATAAATATCAATCTACTTTTTTCCATCCTTTCCTTTCCTTCTAACCTCATCATATTGACATGCAAACAAACTGCATGATAAAAGTGTGATAACATCTAAATGTTGGTACATGAGAAAAACAGAATCAATGGAAAAATTGTGAGTCTTTTCATGTCAACTGAAAGATGAACAAAAACATGTTAACCGTTCAACTTTTATCGATCCAACAATCATTCAACTTTGTCCACTTTTCCTGTATTTATTTCACTTTCAATCTTACCTTTACTCAACCATTTGATCAGCACAATCCTCTTTGCCCAGAAAAGATGAAGAAGAAGAAGAAGAAGAAGAAGAAGAAATTGCAAGAGAAAAGAAATTTTCTCAATATTTTCACATCCAAAACATTCTCCTTGTGATATTAAGTGAACATTTTCAATATCGTCTTCATTTGACTTTTTTCCCAAACAAAAACCTTGTTATATCATTGTTATTAGATATTTTTTAAGTATAAGCCCAAGACTGGAAAGAAGCTATTATTTATTGTTGAAAAGTTGCTAACAGTGTTCAACAGCTTTCACTTTATCATTCATTTTTACCATCTTTATCTCAACCTGAATAATATGAAGAAGAAGCATCATGAAGAGAAGGTTGAAAGTGTATTTTGAAACACTCAAGACAACCTAATATTAAGTGATGATGAAAAGTGGTCCAAGACTAAACATTGTTTTCCAGTCTTTTCACTTTACTTTTGGCAACATTTAAACAATGCAACATCTGCATATGAAAAAAAGTGTCCAAAAAGAAAACATTTTTTTCTTAAAAAATCGTAAAATCGCCTTTCAATCGTCATAACGCTCATCTTGACTGACTGGTTAAAATGGGTTGAAAGGCAACAAAAACAAGTGTTTATGTTGCCTTTGTTTCCATTCATTATAATCATTATCATTATCTCACTCTTCAACTCTAATGATACCAAAATGATACCATTAATGGCTTTTGTTGTTCAATTTTTCATGTAGTTACATTACAACCTTTTCAACTGTCCATCTTGTTGCTCCAATATTTACTCCTCTATTTGCCTGGTCAAATACAGAGAAACTTGGATAATCCTTTGGGAGTATTAAACAGCAAACCATTATTATTTCAACAGTTAATTCAGTCAACATTTGATCATTTGTTCACTTTTATAACAATGTTAACATTTAGTTGACCTTTTTTGTTCCCATTACCTTTCCAGCTTAACACTTGCCAAAGGTGCTGATGATCCAAATTGAACCACTCAAAGTGCGACTAACAAGAAATGCTTTGATATTTGAGTTGCTCAAAAGTTGATCATTAGTTTGAAAATATTTTTTCATCAAATTCTTTGACTTTTTTTTAATAACAAACATTTTCCTTGAAATGATTGATTCCGTAGCATCTCAATCCCTGCAGATTCAATGCAATATTGTAACTTCTGTTGTACTTTTGGTTACTTTTTTGTTTCTCGATTCATTTTTTTTCTCTCTTCTTCTTGTTGCATTTCTTTCCAAGTTAGTCTTTTCCTTTTTTTGCATGGAAATAACAAAAAAAGATTTTCTCTTGTTGAAAGTTGCATTTTTTACTTTTTCTGTTTACTTATTTACCATCATTTAAGCATTCATGTAATCATGTTTTTTTCCCTTTTCTTCCCATTCTTGGTAGACTTGTTAAACTTGGATTGAATCTTATTGCAAACAGGAAAAAATTGAATCCAATGATGAATCCAAGCTTAATTCTGGTTCCTATTTACACTTGTTCAAATTGCTTTCCGTTTCTGAGTTGCTCTTTAACTGTTTCTTTGCAACATTTCAACCTACTTGAATCAGATTAATTCAGTTGCAAAAAAACAACAAAAATATAATGAGCAAAGGAAAGGAAGGAAAATGCCGCAAGTTTGACTCAATTAACAACAATTACATGTTAACTTGTTTGAGGTAAACAACTAATCTTTCATTTAATATGGCAACCACGTAAGCAGCACTTGAGATTAGTCAAATGTCTTCGCACAATTAACTAATCAAACAAATTCAAATGTTGATCAATATCCATAAAAATGGACAAAACATTTCATGGAAAATAAGAAAATTTTCAATTCCATTTTTTGCTCTTTTAGTTTCTTTGTGTTTCACTCAAAATTTGATGAAACAAATTCATATCAATCAACACTTTGAGTGAAAATTTTCCTCTAAAATGTAAACACTTTTCGCTCGGTTAACCTTTAAACCATTTTCCAGTTTGCATGGAAAAATGTTTTTCCAACTTTTGAAACCTTCAAGATTCAATGATTATTACAGCAAGTTATCAGTTGCAATACTTGATACTCTTTCCTCCCAGTTTATCACAATTGTTGAAAAGACAAAAATGTTTAAGAAATGTGATTATCTTGGAAAGCGTAAAATGCAAGGAAAAGTTTCAAAGTTTGAATTTGAATATTTTTTCCATTTAAGGAAAAACAAAGAAAATTTCATGAGCCAAAACAGTTTGATATTCAACTGAATTTATCTTTTCCGTTTCATCCAATATTCCAAGTTTGTTGATTATTCATTCTTGTTTGTTTCTCAACCATCATTGCCATCATTAACATGGTAATAATTGAGGTTAAGAGAAAAAACTTTTTCCATGAAAAAAAGATTCAACAATTAATGGTTTCAATAAATGAACATTGATCCAAGTTCAATTCTTTACCCAATTAATAGTTTGATTAATTTCATTGATTAATTCAATGGTTGTAATCATATTATCTCGACCCAAATGATAATTGATGAAACAATGTTGAATTGAATTCGAAATGAACACTGGACATTGAGGCACAATTGATGTTATTCAATGAAATGCATTAACCAGTGAATATTAATCTCTAGAAATTAAATGTTTAACCGAATCAATGATTCGATGAAAATTGAATAAAGAAATCATCAATTTCCTTCTTTTGTGAAAAAAGCAAAATATTTTCTTCCCTTAAGCATTCATTAGATGAACAATTTGAGGGAAAAAAGTTGGAGATAACTTTTCGTAAATAATAGTTCTGATTACTCGGAAAAACTGATTTTTTTATCATTTTTGTTCCTTTTTTGCGTCTTACTTTCCAAATCTCAGTTGAGACATTTTTACAACTTATTGTTACAAATTGTGCCAAAATGTAAACCCTAAAGCAATCTCGACTTGAAACCTTTGTGTTCAAACAATATTGCATGCATAAAAGCAATGAAACAGAAAACATTTAACATTCAATTGAACTGGGATTTGTGATATTTTTTTGCTCAACACTGTTGACTCATCTTAATCTACTTGAATTATAAATGCTCGTGAAAATCGTAAGAACTCAACTGAACAAAACTATTTACAGGAGAATCTCTTTTTTTTGTTGAAACTGGCTCAGTGAAATAAACTATCAAATTTATCGCATTTTTTACTCAAAATCCAACTCTGAACACTTTAACAATAAACTGAATCAGTTTTAAATCTTTTCTGATTCTTACTTCAATACAACCGTTAAAAGGTGGAAAGGGTGCTTTGGAGTGCACTACTTAATGTGTGTTTTACATGTTATCAATAGTTCTGGTAAATCTCTAGTTCATTTCGCATTGGAAAGTAAATTATTTTTTCAGAATTTTCTTTTTTTCAAATTTTTCTACTCCAACATTAATCCAGACTTTTACTGATTGTTATTTCACTCTATTTAATACTATTTTTTGTAAAAGATTCGATTGTAATTTCAAAGAATGAATTTGTTTGGAGAAAACTGGAATTTTATCAAATAATATCAATTTCATTCATCGATATTCCAACCTCCCAGTCAAGCTCTACAAGTTGCTCGAGCTAAGCTGATTCAATTTTGTCCGATTCTTAAGTTGAGCTAATTGCAACTCATTTGTTTAAAAATTGAACCAATTTAAAAATTCGGTAAATTTCATTATCAAATTGTACAATTCACTTAACGGCG